CTTGCAGCAAAGCCCTTGCACAGGAGCAACACTTCAATTCTCTACGAACGTCTGCCATTTACTTTTCTTAGCCAAATATCTCGTGTATCTTCTGCAACTGAGCTTACTCCTGACATCTGTGACAGTTAAAGGGCTGTAGCCACACTCAGCACAATCCTACAGGAACTTTAAACAGGCTCTCAAGTGACCCAGGCTCTGCTGCAGCTCTGGCTAGCTTGGTGGAGCAAAGATACTACCTTTTCCTCCACACAGAACTGATAGGCCATATGGAAGATGCACGCATGCATGTTATGCCAGCTACAATCTAGTCTTCACCAGTACATGGTAGGAGCAGTGAGATGAGCTTTAGTGCTTCTGAGAGGAGAAGTTATCCTCAGTGAGCCCTAAGAACACCATGGTAGTGAGTAACAATCAGTGGTCTGATTGGTCACCTACTCCTTTTCTTTTCCTGCATGAAGAAGAAAGGCAGGAAAAAATGTGTTATGTACATCCTATCAGTGAACATGAGAGCTGCAAGACATGAGAGGCATTTCACCTCTTCAGTTTTCATGGTCATCAGTGCCTACAGGGCATTGCTAGATAAACTGCCTGCCATTAGCATGAATATTCCAGGTAACAAGGATCATCACCCTGGCATCACCCTAGCTCATCACCCTGCGTAAGCTCACAGCAGCCATCAGCTCTTCATGCCACGACACCCTTAGTTCTCTTCGCTGGTCCACATCAGTAAGATACAGAACGGTCTCATTTTCATATACTCCCCGTGCCTACTTTGTCACTACACAAGGATAACATAAGGCACACACATCCAGTTTTTTTTTATCGCACGTGTTATAATGTTAACGTTATAATAAAAATCTTCTCATTGTTGCTAAAGATAATACTAGAAGATACTACAGCATTCAAGGCCATTTTCTAGCACAAGGAAATCAAACTACTATGTTAATATCACAGTAGCTTGCAACATCATCTGGACCAATTAGCAAGAGTGCAGAGGAGAATAAACAAACCCTTTCCCATCCTAAAAGCAGGATGCTGAGAAATGACAGAAGTATTGGATTTCACTTTGAAACAAGAGTTGCTGGAATCAGTCTTTAGCCTAAAAGCTACAGAGGATGGAGATAGTCTTCAAATACAGAAAACCTGTTGTAAAGAAAATGGGAACAACCTATTCTGTATGCTCATAGTTAAAGTAAAAAGGGGTTAATATGCAGCAAGGAAGATTTAACTTTTCCTAATATCTAGCCTAATAATATAAAACTGAAGTCCTAGAGGGCAAGAGAACAAAATCTCAACTTTGTTTCACTGGCTGTTTCTTTCAGGACAGATGCTTGTCTGCTCTGTCAAGACTGGTTGAGATGCAGCTGATCCTGCCACACTGTGGAAGAGAAAAATAGGTGAGCTTTTGCTTTCCATTCAAGGATTTCAAGATTTTTCATCAGACTATTGTTCAGAGTTCTTTCAATCAAATATCTGAATTTGGGAGTCTTTATTCCCAGCTGCTTTTTGGCCAACTATACTTCAGCTACCTCATGCTCATATTTTTACAATGAAGTGAAAGAATTGCAAAGTATCCCAATTTTACGTCATCTGAAAGCTGGTTTAACAAGGCAGCATCTTGTAAAAGGAAAGAAGGAAGCAGAATTTTCTCCTTGCTAGTTAGTTTAAAACTTGCAATGGCTCTTGGGAGCTCAGGAGATTTGTACTTCAGTTGCTTATGCTGATATTAATCTGAAGTGCCATAGCAAAGCTAAAAAATGTTTTAAAAAGTCTGCTTATCTTTTGAATGTTTATTTTGTAATTAGCTTACTTCTTTTCCAAGCCTCCTTCCCCAGTTTCCAAGTTATATGGAAATTATTAATGCACATTGTTAGACAACTGACAGGAGAAACAGGTTCCAGGGCAATGCACAAGTACACAAAAGTACTTGGGGCAGTATCTTTGGAAATTTTGATTGGATTAAGACAGGCTGTGCAAAAATAGGAAGAACTGCTTGAGCAATACTTGCCCTTGCCATTTGCAAGGCACAGGTCCAAGAATAGCAGGCCTACCCAGAAAGGTTGCTGTACAGAGAGCAGAGGACCTAGCTCCCAGGTGCTGTGCGCCAGAGACATCCCACTGCAACTGCTCTACCAGACTCGATCAGAACTGCACTTTTCAAATATAACCTTGTTTTTAAGTGAACTGATCCATTTCCTCAGGGCTGCAGTGTCAGACTCTCACTTTCCACGCTGCAATAGGAGACTTAGTTAAGTGGAAACACTTGGCACCCTTCCTCCTTTAGGAAAATAGTAATAAATCACATTCTTTTTTTACCTTTTATTATCTGGCTACTCATTTTGTATTATAACTAGATATATTGCCATACCTAGGAAAAGGCAGGATGATGGTATCCCGAATGCCAAGGACTGTATTTGGGCCCTTAGCTGCATGACCGGCCCTTCTGGCACCTCAATAGTGCAGGAGGCATTGAAATAGATCTAGAATTAGGTACCTCCTTTTAGGTAGCTGGCTTCTGCTACACATTGCACAGTGCTGCGACAATACGTGCCACAGTCCACTACCCAAGAAAGAGTACATCAAGCAGAGAGTCTGCTCAAGGCAGTGACCACCCCTGCAAAAACAAAAAAACCTAAAAATTTCCAACCACCAACCCTCCCAAAAGAACAAAACAACCTCCCCACCATTTAAAATTCATTACATCCCAAGAAGATGACATTTAGATATTTCTCCACTTGAGAACTCATAGCTGTGATTTTGTAGTTACGTGCATTACTTTACTTGCAAAGGAAGAGATAGACTAGTCTTCCTTCAGCCAATTAAATAAGAGCATTTACTCCAGGGAGATATAATCCCTCTGCCTGAAGGGACTTTAACTCTCTTCTCTACGTTACAGCAACGTAGCCTCAGTTCCAGATGTACCACGTGAGGTAACTTTTGCCTTAGCAGGCTGTTGCCTACTACACAGTGGCCGATAATCCCTTAGAGGAAACTTTCACTTGCAAAGAGAGGTTGTGAACACGTGCCTCTGACCACCCCTCTCTCCTCAGAGCACTGCTTCTCTTGCTGTTCATAGCGTTGTGCCAAAGCCATAGCTCAGCCTTTACGTTATCATACTTAGACATTCTTGAAGAGTAACTCAAATTTTGAGTTACATACCCCCCCAGCACGAAACAAATCCAAGTTCTACTTTTGCAAGCACATTTACAATCCCATAAGCAGCAAGTTGTCTAAAATGCTTCTTTCTTAAGATATGCCAAACTAGGGCTGTTCAGGCAAGAGTCCTGCATGCTCCTCTGTACCTAAGAGGAAAGAAAACCCCTTAACTAATCTGCACCTGCATATTTCTTGTTGATTTGCAAGGTAAGATGCATGGAAAAAAATAAAAAACATGTTTACAGAATATATCCTTTAAGGCAAATACTATTGCTTCTATCCTCTCTTGCAATGAGCACATACATCAAAATGTGCTGAACAATTCCAATTATAGGTAAGACAGTGACAGTAGCTGTGAATACTACTACTAATAACAAAAATCTACGTAGCGTTAAGCATTCTTTTTCACGGGAGGAAAAAAAGCACAGAGATGGCTTTCACGGTTGCTTTCCCTCAGCCATGGAAATAAATTGTGACATGCATGCATGTGTGTGCATGTTTGTGTGTGTGTGTTTTTTTTTTTTTAAATTGGAAGCAAATTTTTTCTTTCCACAGAAAAGTTCAGATGCATTATAGAGCTGACACTCTCACACAAAAATTGACACTTTTGCATGTTTATGAACAAAGTCTAAGTTTAATCTAAACCTAGTTTACAGTTGCACCAGAGGAAGAACAGTTTTAGTCTTTCCAGTAAATGAATGTGGCAGAAGCTATGTCTGTATCAGCAAGTAATTCAGTACAGTAGGAGTGAATCCATAGAACAAAGCAGTTGATGTTCAACCTCCATACCTACACTATATGCAGTCTTGAAATTTGTTGAAGGCCAGATTTAGTCCGGTGTTCCAGCCAACCCCAATAGGTATGTGGTTTTCAAGCTGTCTGAAGGACTAATCATCGCTACGGACCATGTTGCCATTACGAGTTAGAGCACATGTGGTGCACACCCAGAGCAGTTTCCAGTGTAGAGTTCTCCAAAAGGAAATGAACTCAAGCGCATGAAAAGCTGCTCAGTGAGCCAAACCAATATACAGTAAGTGGAGATGAGAGAGGGATTTACTCCAAAACTGCACAAACTACAACACTGGTGTAGATCCAGCTGGAGTGCTCCCCTAAAGAGAAGACATCTATTACGATGTTCAGTTTGATACAGTGCATTCAACCTTGGGTTGAATGGCCACTTACTAATGAACTATGTTTCAGTGTTCCTGACTGAACTAGCAGGAAGCATTGCTTACAGTGTGTAGAGTGCCAGAAGCAGTCAGGTAAACAAAATTACAATATTAGATCTTATTCTACCTCCAGTATGAGTTTTAATACAGACATACAAAAAGGGGCTGCTCAGGAGAACTTGAGAGCAGAAGCATAACTCCTGTTCCAGATGTTCAGAGATTATTTACTTGTATATTAGTTAAAAATTACCGAGTAAAAAAGGGGCACCGAGATGCATAAGATGCAATACATTTCATACACGCGAGCATTTTACAAGTCCATATTACAAGTCATAATGTCTAGTACATCAACATTCCACAATACAAAGTTTGTCTTTATATTTTAAAATAGAATATAATAAATATTAATTCACATTAAGACACTTGCCACAGCAAAATTCCTTAGAGAAAGTGCTTTACCTACACAAAATACCCTAAAGTCTACCAAACAAGCTCTGAAGTTCTCCACCTTAGAAGGGGGTATGGGTAGAAATAAAAGAAGTACAAGTGACATCCAGAAATTTTGAGAGAAATCGAGAACTCCAAGTTTACCATGTGCCTCAGTTGATAAAGTCAGGTCAACTTGATCTGGGGAGTCATTACCCCCAAGTTTGATATAATATGCTATTTAGAAAAAAATAACAGAATACTTGATTAACAAGTAAATTGCATAATTGGGGCTGTAACTTAATTTGATGCTCAAGGTGTAGAACTGGCTCACAGACTAAAAATTAACACAACAGGAAAAACCATTAGTAATACAAATTATGTCATCCCACTGACAGGACTGAGCCTACAGGATGCTATTCTTTGAAGATAAGGAGTGAGACTATCCAGGGATTAAATGAACAGAGAGGGAAACAACAATAGAGCTCTTTATGGTAAAAATACCTTTTTATTAGGAATATATTTAAAATTAGCTTTTTGTTTCAGGTAAGAAAAATAGCATTCTGACTTTTAGCCAGCGCTGATTCCGGTCATATGCAATATCCTAGTAACTAGAATAGTTATTTGCACCATTGCTGCCCATCAACAATTCTCATAACCGTCCAATTCGCTGTCTCCTACTCTTCAGCTTGTTCTTAAATATGTTGAAGAAAACACTGTAACAAAGTTTGTATTTAGATCTTAATGAAGAAAGACAGACTGACTAGACAGTGACTCAGAATCTGTTATTAGCTTACACATAGCTTTTAGAAGCTTTCTTTCAAACAACAAAAATAACATGGTTCAATAGCTGATCTAGGAAGACAATTAAGAGGGCAGCTCTTCAAGAAGAATGTGGCAGAACAAAGCCCACTCTTCTACTATACAGTTTAGTACTGTAAAGTAGCAGCAATTTAAAGAACTTCTGTTAATTCTATACTCCTTTATACAAAAGCACTGAAGAATAGAATACAGGGCTATTGCTATTAAAATTTAAACAGTATACTGCTTTGTGTGTACATTTTTTACCCAGTCTAGATTTTTTCTCTTGCTGTGATGTAATTACAATTAAAGGTGATTAATTGGCTGATGCTGTAAACAAAGACATGCAAACCCTGTGTGTGAGCTTTACTGTTCTAGGAGTCTGCATAAATACCTACCTTCTCAATACAAACTGTTTTATTTACCATCATGATCATATTTTTAGGTAGCATCTTTTTAAGTATGTTTTCATTCAATTAAATATGGTATCTGTGAAGGATTTTGTCTGTGCTCTTAAAAACCCAAAGTCCATTTTCAATACCAGATCTATCAGACAGGGAAAGTATTATCCAGATAAATTTGTTATTTTTGGTCTTGTAGTTTCTTCCATTCCCTGCAGCCAATATGAAGATATAAGCTGCAAATTTTAAGTAGACTTACATATGTAGATGTTTCTTAAATGTAGATGGAAATAGTGGATGATGATACTACAGTCTCCAAATACACTGAGAATATGCAATTATAGCCAACAGGCCAAAAGTTTGTGGCTGCTTTAAGCAGCATTTCAAAAATATATATAAACACCACAAAATAAGCTATATCAGGAAGCAATTTGATACTCAAATAAATAGAAAATTCGCATTTTAATGTCACATTGAATTTTAGTACATTTCAATCCAAGAAAAAATAAACTGACAGACATGGTAAGAGTACAGGATTATATATATTACAATATGCCTTGTTATAATACATTTGTGGCTTTATGATAAAAAACTCAAGGGCAGATGGAGTCTGAGCTCACTTAAGTAATTGTCAGGAACAAAGCATTAAATGCATTTCTGAAATAAGTACTTTTATTTAATTTCAAAATCTTAAAACAGCATTAGACCTTGGCCCTTTTTTTTTTTTTTTTTAAATAAGTTTAGTTAACACGGAGCTAGCTAAATAAGTATTCTGAAAGGTTTAAACCATATAGAAAATGCTTTCCCCAGTTTTACATACCATGAAAGGAAAGATGATTTCAACAGCACCTATGGCTAACTCCAAGTTGAGCTTGACCTAGCAGTGCACACTTAATGATCTCTTGAAGGGATCCAGCAAATTTTGGAAGTTGTCCATTTCACATGAAAGCAAGAGAAAGGGTTATTGTATGCAAAAATATTTTTTAAACTGTTCTTAATTTGTAATTGAAAACTAAAGGTATGGTCTCTTCATTATAAAAAAAATAAAGGTAAAACAGAAACTCTAAAGGAAGGTATTCAGCTATACTGAAGTTTCAACCCTCTGAAAAGAAAGAACAAAAGGTCAATTAGCTAAGCTTTGTGCTCTAACCAAACTACTTACAGTGATTTTCAGTGGCAAAAGCCCATGCTGACTGGGTGATTTGACAGTTCCAAATACTTTTTGTAATCATTTTTATTTGTATACAAGGACACTAAAATGATCCAGTCATGCAATGTTCATTTTAAGCATTCTGCATCTCTTTTCCAATCTTATAGCTAAGGATCTTGTTCCAGTCAATCTTGGTGCGGGTAACTGGCAATTGTCGACGTAAGGCCTTGAAAGTAGTGTCCGACATAGTCTGATAATTCTCACTGATAGCAGTCTGTTAAACACAAGTAAAGTCATATAAAACAAAAAGACACATGAAGAACAGAAGCAGCATGTTATATAAAAAGTTAAGTGATTGAGTGGTTTGATACCTCTTAAACAGGTTTATTAAAGATATACTAAATTAACACCATCTTTTATGGAGGTAAGCTGTTCTAGATCTAGGTTGAAATCAAGTGAAGAAAGTTACAGTAAGACAAATGCAATAAATCTGGCTTTAAACCAGGTGTTTCAGCAAATGATGGTGTGGTTAATGAGCAACATGAATATGTGCTGATCAGCGGAGTTAGCTCATACATCATTAATTCCAGACAACAAAGTCTTCCACCATTTTTTCTGTGGGAATGGCAGTCAGGCCAAAGCATAGCGTAAATATAAATATAATGCATGTGATGCTTACTTAGAATACCTTGTTCTGTCAGTTTAAAAAAAAAGTTCTTTAACAAAAAACTTACTGTGTCTGAAACTTAACATATGTTAATGGCCTAAATTAACATAAAGCCTCTTCTACAGAGGATACCTAGAACAGTTATACTTTTCCTGTTTTAAAATGAGTAATTGAAACGGATGTTTACAGTCATATTTAGCAGAACTGTTTTACAGTATCCTCCAAACAGAATTTATGTCAAAATTCCACTTAAGGAATGCACTAAGAATTAAAGAAATCAGAAACACTGATATTTGATCACACTAGGCACTGCAGTAATACACTTTCTGCTATCAAAAACCAGCAACATATAATCTATCTATATTTGTAAAGAACTGAATCTGAATAAAGATTTATCTGAATAAAGATTTCAGAAACATAAGCTGAAGTGACTACAGTCTTCCGAGTGAAAAGTTTT